CGGTTGGTGTGGTGGTGGCGTTGACGGAGAGGGGAATGGCAGGGAGAGGTGAGGGAAGGGTGGAGTCGGGGGTGGACATCGCTAACGAAGAGCAGCACCAACTTCTGCGAGCAGCTCTAGACAGGCGAAGAGCCGGCGGCGACGCAGGCGGAGAAACAAACGGAGGATTTGCACAAGCGACATCGCAGACTGAACGACGCTGAGGAAACTCCGAAACGCATCACGAGAGTGAATGTATGTTTCCCTCCGTGCCTGCTTTTTATATCTGTGTAGCTCGTTCGCGGTGTAATCATCTTTGTCGCATCGTGGTCAACAAATCTTCTACTTCATTGTAAAAATTGGATTGGAGTCTGCTGGAATTACAGCACAATACGTTTATTAACTTTTCAATGCTATCCTAGAGACATAGGATAATCCACATGAATGAAAAAAATCACTATAATATTAAACAAAGAGGAAAGTCGGAATGAATTGAAAAACTACAGGCCTATTAGCTTGTTACCAAGTTTACACGAACTTCTCTCAAAAATTCTGAAAAAATAATTTAAAAAAGACTCGACAAAAACCATCCACCAGAACAAGCCAGAATTCAATCAAAATTCAGCCCTATTGACCATCTCCTAATATTAATTAGGTTCTAAAAAACGGATGAATTCAATATCCTTCTGTATATGGTGTTCATTCGTTGACTGCACTGAGGCATTTGATTCCGTGGAGCACGAGAGCATTAAAGGAAAAAGCAATCGATGAAAAATGTATAGCATGGTAGCTTTTCTACAAAAACAAACGCCCCTACTACTCCCGCGCTGGCAGAAGGGCCTTGCCCTTTAGGGATATATGTATGTAATTGGCATTTTAGGTTCATGTTAAACCGATGACGTTTGCCAACTAGCGGTCTTTCCAAGCCTGGGCCATGTTTCTATTTACTATCCTCACTCCTGGTGATCAAAGGAGCTTGTATCATCACCATTATCATCATCATCATCATCCTCTAATTTATTGGTGACCTTTTCATGAATTTTTTGAATCATTAACACCTGATGGAAGTCGCTGATTGATATTCAAAATTATGGCAAAAAGTTTCAGCTAAGAATCAATTGACAGCGGCTCTTTAAACATACGTCTTCCTTTCATTCTTTTTTCTGACATCGAGTAAATGTCATTTATCGTTCTGGAATATTAACTACAAGTGCGTCTTTTGTAAAACAAAATTAATCGACCTACAAATTGCAGACTGATTCAGCGGTGTCCTTCATCCATCAACACTACACGAGTGGGTTTCAATTCCACATAAAGCGTCCTTCTAACGTGAAATGCAAGGGCAAATCACCTTAAATTTCAACCAAAATACACACCTTCTCTCCTAAAACCCACTAACATTCAGCTTATGAATGCTTGATCTGAATGAGATAAGATCTGAAATCTAAAAGGCTGAAAATTGCAGAAGAAACAATTTTGAAATAAAATCATGGATAATTTTAATCTATTTGTAGGGTTTGAAGACCACAAGCTCAATAGAAAAGCCACTACATTGGGTAGTGTCAGGATTGACTTATAATTTTTAGTTCCCGGGCTCTTGAAATGATGTTGTTATGATTCCCATAACTGTAGTGTACATTTTTATCTCGGGAGTTGGGGATGTTCTACTCCGCGAAGATCGCGAGATTAGGTACCTATTTACACATCAGCGTGCGCGGCTTTTCAAATCCGGCTATCACCAAATAACGGCCCCCACCAATGGCGACACTCTCTAAGCTCCCGACATTTATAGTAGTGTAGTGCATATAAGTGTGCCTGTACGTAAGGGGTGATAATAGAACAAGGAAGAAGAAGAAGAAGAAGAAGAAGAAGAAGAAGAAGAAGAAGAAGAAGAAGAAAAGAACGCATGCGGTCCTTGGCTCGTTTGTTGGGGTACCGGGTCCGGCATCATCCTGGTTATAATCGGAGAAACCTCAGAAAACTACCGATCAGTGTAGACGGCATTATAATTCTCCTCCAGACAACGGCTGAATTCAGACTAGTTGTATAGTTAGTATGGAGAAATCCTGTCACCATCGGGACTCGAACCCTAGGTCTGCGCTGTCATTTTAGTAGAAGTGCGGGCGTGTGAGTGCCAGCCTGCAGGAGAGGGCGGTCGTCGGCGGAAGAAGCCGTCGCTGACGCCTTCGTTAGGGGACTCCGGTGCTCGTTACGCAGAGCCCACACCACCGCCAGCAGCGCCACGCGCGGCCAGGCATAAAACACGAGAGCGTGGAGGCAGGGGGACAACAAGTTAGAGAAGATAGAGCAAAAGAAGAAACCGACTGATATAGCTCAGGGTATCAAATGTTTCTTCTCTAGTTCTTTTTTACAATTATTATTGTTTATTCATAAATATGTTACATGGAACGCTGCAACCGCCAGCGTGGCAGAGATGAAAATCGGAGGTATCCAGGCATTGCTTATATCTTCGTATCTAGAGTGGTCTAGTGAGGTAGTGTGTCTGGGATAACTGGGTTCGAGATCCGACAGTTTTTCGTGGATAGCTGCATTGAATTCATGCACTGTCTAGAGAAGAATTGTACTTGTCCGTTGCTCTGATAAGAATGTTTTCGACGTTTCTCCAATCAATAACAAGTAATTGCCGGAGCAGGTCCTTAAAAAACGGGCCATAGACCGCGAATGATGTGATCCTCGTCACCTCCCCTCCCTGTCGCACACTAGCACATGTTGCTCTCCTCTCCCCGTTCACTTGCCCTACACCATCACGTGTGTCGGAAGACCGGGCGAGAGCACAGAGCGTGTCCTGGCTGAGATGACACCTTGTTGGCAGTCGACTTGTAGGTTGGCCCTGTTTCCCACATACCAGCGGGAGAAGAACACCGCCATCTCCCGGGATGTATCATGCACTACACCCACGGTAGTAGTGATGGCAGCCGAAAATGCGAAATGGTCGATCAATGAAAATGAAAATGAAGAAAAAAGTATATTCAAATAAAGAGTTAACAACAAAAAGAAGAAAGGAGAGAAAACCATATAAAAATTCTATGTATATTTTTCTGCAAGATTGTTATTTAAACTTTATTTCGTTCTCCTGAAAATTAACGTCATCATAACAGTGTAAAATTTGTCACGTTTTGGTTCTAGTCCAAATTACAATGTTGTAAAGACATAAATTTAATCGTTAGTTAAAATTGGGTCGTTAATTTTATTTAATGTGTTTTTTATGGAATATGTACATGTAATAAATTAGTTCAACTATTTTGTTCGTTAGTAACCATTTAGTTCGTGAGCCTTGATTTCTTAATATCGAAATTTATAAAAATGCCTTTTTAATAACTTGATTTTGTCGCTAGTTCCTATTTTAAATAACGAATTTTTGAAGTATGGAATCTCCCTTGCAACGAGAAGCCCTTCAATTTTAAATGGGGCTGAGGGAGAAGAACGAGTGGCAAATCTGTGAATCTCTCCGTGACGTAAACCCCCTGCAGTGTTTTGGGCCGTTCCTCTTACGTAGAAAG